CCCTCATTAGGTCTGAAAGGACAAATTATTCGACTAAGAGCATGTCATGCTCAAGAATCATCCTATTTGGGACCAAAAATGCCCTAAATGAAGAAATGGCTAGATCTACAAGATAAGATGATCACGTTATGAGCTTTTTACCTCTTGGAGGTTGCTAGCAATGAGTTAATCTCAGATCCAAGTTGCTTCCAAGCTCCAAGTTCTTCTCACCACCTTCCTATTCTTCAAGAATACCACAAAACACAAGGATAAGCTCAAGATGCACTCTTCTCACTTAGGGTTAGCTAGAGGGTCGTTTTCTCAGATGGAGACTGATAAGGGAATGAGAAATGAGGGGATAATGATGCTTATATATGGACCAAACCCTAAAAATTAGGGTTTGAGGATTTACCACGTACGCCCTGCGTACGCTGTGTACGCCCAACGTACTAGGGTCCGCCCCAGTACGCCTAGCGTATACAACGTACGCTTAACGTACTAATCTCTTGGCCAAAATTACCACAATGCCACCATTGGCCATTCTTGCAATCTTTCTCAAGCCCAAGGGTCAAAATGCAATATTCTTTTATATATAGGGTTAAAATTGAAAGTATTTCATCATCGGCATGTTACATAGAACATTCTACAGAGGTAGTATTTGAACTAATATCATGACTAAGCCTAGTATTTGAACTAATATCATGACTAAAATCAAGCGGCCATTCTTTAAATTAAACAATGTATATTGTTTAAATGTATAAACCTTTTATTTCAATTAAAGGTACGCGTGATTCACGACTAACATTGATATATATGACAATTAAATATTGTTTTTAGTATTTAAATCATCTATGGATACATAACAAATTCTTATAAGACTTTTCCAAACCGGGATCATTATTTATAATGTCATATATAGAAGGCCTTGTTTAGTCCTTCAACCAAATCAAATAGATCATAAAACTTTCATGCCGCCCCTTGCAGAGGCAGGGGCAATGCCCCGAGAAAAAGTTTTTGTGAGCTAGTTCTTAGGGGGTGTTTGGCTTAGCTTTTTAGAGGGCAAAAGTCCTTTTTGGAAAAGTTGCAAAAAGTAAGGTTTTCCTGAATTTTCCAAAAAGTTGATTTTCCTTCTATCCAAAATCCAAAAATAGCTTTTAAAAGTCTTTTGCCAAACATCTTTTACCTTTGATATTTTTCCTAAAAAGATTTTTGCCTAGACCTGTCAATGGGGCAGGTTTTGACCCTGATTCGCTCCAAACCCGTAAGAATTTAACGGGTTTGGATTTTAATTTTTGATTCGTTTACCCGTTTACGATCCATACCCGTTTACCCTTTTAGTAAATGGGTCGGGTATGGATGATTGTCGATCCGCTCCACTTATGACCCGCCCCATTATATATATATATATATATATATATATATATATATATATATATATATATATATATATATATATATATATATATATATATATATGGCAACAAAATATACACTCGATGTCTAAGTAAAATGTGATTTTTATTGTATTGGACTTTGAGTATTAATTAATGTACATCTTGTTTAAGTAGACATTTTATCTTTTTGAGAAATATTACTTTGTGGAACACATAAAAATTATGAAAATTTAATATTATAAAATGGTCGGGTTAATGGGTCGGGTATTCGTTGATTCGGTGGATACGGGTATGGATTCGACTAATCAAGACCCTGAGGGTTATTGAAGCGGGGCGGGTCATGTTTTTATTTTTTTAAATGGGTTTGGATCAAGGGTGAACGATTAAGAACGTTAATGTTGTTAAGCAAACCAAGAGAACAAAAAAAAATTGTCAAATACACAGTTCCTATGATGTCACTGCTTCAAGTATGATCGTTGGATGACCATGACCACCTCGGGAAAATTGCATTGACCATGGTGTGAGGTAAGGCAGTTTTCTCATGTCCAATGTAGACAATCTAAACTTCCTAACATTCTAGGAAATTCATGTACGCTAGCATGATGAGAATGCAATTTGATGATGCCATTACGTATAGGCTTGCGTAAATATTTTGGCCCATAAAGCTGAATAATAGTTTTGCAAAAATAATGGAGACTACCTCGTGCAATCCTAGCGGACATCCTAAAACTCTCGTCCAACGCATCAGGCATGATGCTATATTCTAATTGACGAAATGCAACTGTGCATTTTTGTAAATGAGTGAAACCGAGTGTACCTCTAGCATCAGGATCTTGTTGGAAAAAATCACACCCTCATTAGATCTTCGACTATACGTTCGCACAAAGGTTTGAACATTCTGAAACGCCTTCGGAAGTAGTACCCTTGAAAAGTAGCATTCTTTTGAAAATAGTCTTGTATCAAGCGTTGGTTTGTTTCTTCACGATTTCTATAAATATATCTTCGGGTTCTTCGTTCAGCACTTCCGACTATGCTACTCCATGCAGCTTCATACGTTTACTCCGCCAATTTAGCAGTTGCGACAACAACATCAAACATAACAACAAAGTCCTCAGAAGAATCGAACGATGACATTTTTTAATTTTTTTGATAGGAAATGTAGTAGAAAGATAAAAAAAAATTGTAAAGGTTTGAGGTTTAAATAGGAATGTTAAAAGGTTAAAAGGGAAAGAAAAAGAAACATTTTTTTTTAAATCTGACCGTTCAACGGTCAATTGGAATGAAAATTGAAAGAAGTTGGGGAGCACAGTGCGGCCTCCACCGCACCCCCACCGCGGTGGAGAGCGGTGTTTGTGATGATGTGGCAGGGGTGGTGCGGCCTCTATCGTAGCCACAGCCGTTGGCCTTATCGTTAGGTAGTCAAAATCGGTTGATGGTTTAATATATAACACAAATTCTCGAGTGTTTGAATGTGTAATACTGTAAAAGGAAAATTCAATTTTCAAAACATTTTCATTTATACTTGAGTTTATATCATTTAAGTTAGTCAATGATCAGACTAAATAGTACATGAATGCTGATGATTTTAGTATCATATCATCTAATGTGATCGACATTGCTCCCCATGAAGGGAGCGTAATAATTGAGATACAAAATTCCATAGAGGAAGTTCAATGTTCAAACCTTGCGCTAAGAACAGTTGGATTGCTTCTAATATAGCATGAGAAACAATATCATCACACTTCTTGAGCTTGATAATCCTTCTAAATTGTCTTAAATCTAGTTTAATATGTTTTCGTATTCATAAACCGGTTAAAAAAAAAAAAAAAAAAAAAAAAAAAAAAAAAAAAAAACTGGTTATATCTTGGTTAAAATTGATTTTGAAAAAACATGAAATTGTTATAAGTTTGTTTTTAACACATCGTATAAAACATAAATCAAAATGTCAAATAATCTTAAAAAATGTTCCAAAACTAATTTTAAAAACTAAAACATATCAAAATAAGTAGTTTATGTTTCTTAGCAATTACAATTGCCTCAAATTTACCCGGCAGCATCGCATATTTAGACTTTAGCGTGAGTTGAACTAAAAAACATGTGTGGGATAGTTGTTTCTTAATTTATGTCAAGTGAAAGAACCTGAATTGCAAGCACGCGTCTACTAACTTCAATTATACGGTATAAAGAGTAAAATAAAAGAATGGAAATGTACAAATTTAGATCTTACGTCTCATCATCATTCTTCACAGTTAAAAATGAAATCAATTCCTGATGATTTGTGATGTTAAGGCTGCTTTCTCTTGGAAATTGAAACAATTAGAAAAGTACAAAAATGTCATGAATTCAAAAAAGACTGAAATTGTTTACAAACATTGGTAGTAGACTTGCCTTCTCCAAGAGGTGTTGGAGTAATTCCTCCAACAACAACATCATACCCTAGAAAAGAACCAAAAAAAGTAAAAATGTTTTGAGATGATTTACCATTTGTTGCAAGCCACGACCAGAAGAAACAATATCTACAGAACCTTCCATGCTAGGTATAGTCTGTGGAAAAACAATGCATAATCAAAATATTAGAACCGACCATCGTGATAAATTAAAAGTAATAAAAATCTTATTCTTTATTGGTGGAAGGATCCCATTCGTGTTCCACAACTACGTTTGGTTCTCAAATTCTGACGGAATTGGAATATGAGATTCCATTCCATGGTTGAATTGTTTGAAAAAAGTCAAAAATTTTACTTAAAAAGAAATAATCTTTTTTCTTAAAAAAATAGAAAAAAAATTAGATAAATTGGAGGGGATAATGATTTAACTAAAATATATAAATTAATTAATTTACTAAATTAAAATAGATTCTAATTCATAACTAACTATTAAACAGCAAAAATAACAATAAAACAAAAAACATAGTTATTGTGGGATTGGTTCCACTTCCATTTGTCCTTACTTTCGTTATAAGGAATTGCTTAGCAACCAAACTCCCTGCTCCACTTCTATTAAAGCCAACTTATAATGTTTTCTGTTTTTCATCTTTGTTCACTTTTCCAAAAAACTAATTGATTAACTTCAACTTGTATTCTTTATAAAAAAAAACAAAAACAACCACAAAGTATTATATTTAGGGAAAATGACGAAAAAAGCACTATATTTTGCCAAAAATTCGGTTTAACCATCAGTTTTTAATAATTTATGAGAAAACCACCAATTTTTAGTAAAATGTTTCACTGAGACCACTGGTACCTGTTATAGCCGATTTTGCAAGTTAATTACGAAAAAACTACTATATTTTATCACTATTTACGATTTAACCACTCATTTTTTATATTTTTCTATTAAAATGAAAAGTTTTGGGGTTATATTTCATCATTATTTATGGTGCATCAACAAGTCCATAACAACATATTTTTAACACTATAAATACATAATAAGTGGTCAATTGAACAATATCATAACACCAACCATATGATATATTGTTTAACAAAAGCTAATGCATCACAAAAGTGGGGTTGGTTTCTCAAAAATAGGCCAATTAACAAATCATGTAAGGCCAAACAAAACACATCAAAAAGAGCAATCTGTCATCTGCCCACCTAACTTATCAACCCACTATACAACTCCCAAAATCTATTCAATTTCTAAAGGATTTTCTGATGCAGACCCTAATCCATCAATTTTCTTTCCAAGTTTGGCTATCCTCTCAGATGGCCTTCGTTTTTTTATTGTAACTTGTGGTTGTGTTTCGTCTATTCCTTCCTCTTCATCATCTTCAGTATGCTCAGCTGCAACACATCTAGCAATCTCATCTTCGGTGTATCCACTTTCCCTTAAATCATTGATGCTTTGAGTCTCATGTACCATTTCAGCATCAACATCAGCTTGTGTCTCAAGAACTTGTTCCTACAGTACAGAAATAAATTAGTTACATTTCACTCCCAAAACAAACCTAAAACACAATCCCAAAACAGCCCTAAGACACTCCCAAAACATCCCCAAAACTGTCTATAATAGCCACAAAAAACAGCCCTAAAACACCCTAAAACATCCTAAAAACACCCAGAAAAACAGTCTAAAAACAACCCTAAAAACACCGTAAAATACCCAAAAAATAACCTAAAACAATTCAATAGCTAGATGGAATAAGACATACCATGGTTTCTTTAGTTTGTTGCATTTCTTGCACAGGCTTTTGTTGTGTTTCTTCTTGAAAATAGTCTAATACCTTAAACTCTTTTTGAAAAATTGCCATTTTAAGCGGAACTGATGGGCAAATGTCCCCTTCCCATGTTTCATGTAGCTTAGACATTGTGTTAAACCTGTTCATCATGTATAATCGAATTTCTTCCAACATTGTAATAATCGGCTTCTTCCTTGCTTTATCAATTACAGAATTAAATGACTCGGACATCCCGTTCTCAACTGCTTCACATGCCTTTCCTGATGCAAAGAATGCCCTACACCATGACCTAGGGTTCCTGGCCATCAAATGTTCATATGCTCCTACACTGCAATACAAAGGAAACAAAAAATATAACACATATTAAACATACAAAATTATATATATATATATACATATATATATATATATATATATATATATATATATATATATATATATATATATATATATATACTAGGCGAATGCCCACGCGTTGCGCAGAAGCATCTATATAGCTGAAATCTTAACAAATATATGTTTTTTTTTAAATATAACAATAATGTTGTTGTTAAATTTGATATAATAATTCGTATACTAAGTTGATATAATATATTGACTATTTTGAATTATATGATAATATATATACATCTATTAAAACTGCATAATCTCAATCTTTTGAATGACCTCTACCCGCGGGTGACTCATGAATAAAATTATATATGATATATGGTTTAATGCTATTTATAGTTGTTGTTATTGTTAATTAAGTTTTTAAAATTTATTTGCTTAACGTTTTAATTTCTATCATTGTAATTATTTAAAACATCAAACATTTTTTTTTGATTTTAAAGGTAACAATATAATCATTTATATAGAGTTATTTTCAACTATTTTTATTGTAAGTTATTTTACGCTACTTATTTGAAAGCTTTTAACGATTATAAAAATATATGTAGGAAATATTTTAGTTACATTGATATTACAATTTAGTTTTTGCATTTAGCACTACAATTTATCACATTTAACTATTCACAAAATATTCTTTGGGTTTTTTAAGTGGAACTGAAATTTATATTGAAGTTGACCCTGTTATGTTATATTTAAATTAACAATTTAAGTATTTTGTCCAAACTTTTCAAAAGTTGTAGCTTTAAACTGATAATGGTTTATATACAACAACATATTAAATCTACTAAATTATGTATATTATGTTAAAAGTTAAAGACAAAGTTTATAAGTAGAAGTAAAAATATTATTTTAATATTGAAATTTAGTTTATTTATGATTACACTTTAGGTTTGATACTCATTTAACCTTATTAATCAACTTATAATCATTATTAGAAAGAAACTACAATTTATCACTTTTAACTATTTACAAAATATTTTTTAGGTTGTTTAAGTTGAACTAAAATTTATATTTAAGTTGATCCTGTAAGATTATATTTAAATGAGCAATTTAAGTATTTTATACAAATTGTTCAAAAGTTGTAGCTTTAGTATGGTAATGGTTTACATACAACAACATATTAGACCTACTAAATTAAGTATAATATGTTAAAAGTTAAAAACATAACTTTATAAATATAAGAAAATATATTATTTTAATATTGAAATTTAGTTTATATATGATTACACTTTAGGTTTTATATTTATTTAACCATATTAACCAACTTATAATCATTATTAGAAAGAAATTGAAAAGTCATGGGAGTTTCAAATGAATGTGGTGAAAGGAAAAATGAATGAGAGATTCAAATGAATGTGGTGCAAGGAAAAATGCTAGCTTTATAAGTATATAATGATAATGATATATATATATATATATATATATATATATATATATATATATATATATATATATATATATATATATTGGCGTGGCATACCCCTTAATGGCATTCATGTGCTCCGTGAACTGCACTTCAACAGTGGATTTCGCAGCTAGCCAAAAAAGTTTCTTTAATACCACACTAGGGTATGTTTTCCTCAGGTTGGCATAGATATGCCTCGCACACTGTCTGTGCTCTTCATGTGGAAGGACCTCCTTTACTGCCTCAATCAATCCTTTGTGTTGATTAGAAATAATAGACAACTCCATACCGCCGTTTAATCCAAGGTCGTTACTCAACAATTCGATAAACCATTTCCAGTTATCTTTATTTTCTATGTCTACAACCGCCCACGCAATAGGGTATATGTGATTATTTCCGTCTCTGCCTACAGCAGCAAGCAACCCACCCTTCACTTTTCCCTTTAAGAAGCAGCCATCCAGCCCAAAAATCCTTCTACACCCTCTATTCCATCCATCTTTCAATGCTTTGAAGCATACATAAAATCTATGAAAGTAGTTTCCATCAAGGTTAACATGAACGCCTAACTGTACAATAGATCCTGGGTTTGATCGTGTAATCTCATTTGCATAATCCCACAGCCTCTCATAGTGCTGAGTAAGCTTGCCTTCAATCATTGTTTGAATTCTTATCTTGGCTCGACGACATTGACTCTTGCTTACCTTACAAAAAAACGTCTTCTGTATATCATCTTTGAAGTCATCCAATTTCATATTGGGCTTAGTAATGAACTCCTTCAAGTAGTGTTTTGCAATCCAATCTGGGTTCACAAGTGCACCAAAATCATAACTTCTAATGCATAAATGTTTCCCCACAATCTTCTTTATTTGAAAAGATCGATCACGTCCCATCCATGACGCCCAAAGAACAAATGGACATGTTTTTCTATCTCCTGCTTTGCCACATTTAACTTGTATCCTTTTATTGTCACATCTTGTAAATCGTAAAGGATACCCATTTGCCACCGCATAATTGGTCAAAGCAAATTTCAGTTGTTGTGGGCTCTCATATATTTCTTTTTCTGTTGGTTTCATAAGACTCCATTTAGTCTTTGGGCTGTGGACAGGAAATTCATATTCAATCCCTTCTTCATCATCATCAGCCTTTGGTATACTTGGTGACCCACCTGATTCTTCCTCATGCCCAAGAGTTTCAGCAAATGAATTGGACAGCTTGCCATTATCACATAACAAATTGAGAAACTCAACATTTTGAGTAAAGTTCAAACCCCGTGCTATTTCATCTTCAAGAGTTACATCCAAACTTTCATCATCACTGATTCCATCATCACAGTCACCACTAAAATCATGTACATTTGCAGATGATTCCATTACACACCTGCCATAACATAATAATCAATGTTACAAACATATATATGGATTAAAACAGGAAAAAAGACTCCCCAACTCGAACCTGTTATTAAACCCTAAAACCGAGCCTGGAAACCTTAAAAGCATATACGAAACCTTAAAACCCCAAAGAATTCAAAACACTGAACCCTAAATTCGATTTTGACATGAAACCCAAAAAACGAAGCCCTAATTTGCAATGTACTGTGTTCGATTCACTAAAAAGAATTCAAAAACTTGGTAAAGAAACCAACCTGCTTCGATTCTGTAATCCTTTCAGACGATCGGCTTTAATGAAGCTTCAATGTCGATCGATTGGGGGCTGCATCGACTTCACAGTAAAATCATCCCGCTCATTTGTTGGAGGAGTATCGAATTTGTTTTTAGTGTATGTCTATTAGCCTCAAATGCCACGAATTAATCTATAACCTGTTTTACCGGCTGCTTCAAGTCATAATGGTCGGGTTAAAACGTTTTTAAAAAATATGATGGTTTTATTACAACAAATGAAAATATGATGGTTAAACCGACCCAAGTTACAAAATATAGTGCTTTTTTCGTCATTTTCCCTTATATTTATTATAACTTAAATAGGAACAGAGGTTTAACAATTATAAATAACCTACAAATGCAAGACATCTTCAACCTTTGTTCAATTCATCTATCTTGATGCCTGCTATGCCTCAAGGAAGTAGAACAGGTATGCTCCCATGGCGAATCGAACGATGACATTTTTTAATTTTTTTGATAGGAAATGTAGTAGAAAGATAAAAAAAAAATTGTAAATGTTTGAGGTTTAAATAGGAATGTTAAAAGGTTAAAAGGGAAAGAAAAAGAAACATTTTTGTGATAAAAATGGCTTGTAATCAGTTCTCGAGTTACATGTCATAGTGAAATTAAGGATTTCACCTGCAATCATGAAAGCATCCAAATTTGAACCTGGGAAATAAAAAAAAATCGTAAAATCATTGAACAATTACAAACCTTATATACCAAATGTTTTTGTGATAAAGATTCCCAATACTCACCAATATATGTTGTATATAACTCTATGGGGTCTCATTGTAGTATGAATCGTTATGCCCATATTGTACAAATTTCATTATGTATCAACTTGGTAAAGAATTCCGGTGACAGAAATTGGGTATGATGAGGGATTTTGAAGCAGCGATAGCATTGTGACTCAACTTTGAGACTTTTCTGTAATCATCACCTAGAAAACAAATTTAAAATAAGTTAAAGTTCCATCAAATTTGAGAATATTAACAAAGGGTATTTAAAAATACACATAACAGATTGAAAAAATAAAGGAAAATAGAAATCAGTGAATAAATGACGAACGATTTCTATAGTCATCAAACAACCCACCCGGTACAATTTCCCTTTCCATCAAAGATCCTATTTTTCGTCTTCATTTTTATCGCCAAATTGGGTTCATCTTATTCCTAATTTTTAATCAATTGCCATACGTTATTGATTTTTAGGTTTTCCAGTTCTTCAAACGGGTCAAAGAATCCTCAACAAATCCGTGTTTCAGAAAAAATTGGTGATAGATTAGTTAATGATCAGGAGAAGAATGGGAACAAATTAACAGTTTGAAGTTGAAGAATAAAAGAAAAATGAAAACCTTTCACAATGGTGCAACTGGTACGAGTGCTTTCTGAGTTAATACCATATGATTTGAAATACACCCACACTCCACCACGATCAAGGGACCAAAACCCTAAAGTAAGGATGTCATGACGTAAAGCACCACTTTTCAATGCAATCTTCAGCAATTGTCTCAAAATCGTACAAAAATCGCAAAAAGAAATCAAGAATATGTTTAAATGTTGAACTTACAAATGAAAAAACAAAGACAAAAGCGTCACAATTCTTTTTACAAAAACACACCTGTCGTCAATATGCATTGAGTGGCTTGATCAATCCATAATCTAAAGATGTTACCTGTAAGATCAATATTGATTCTTCAATCGATAAATGATAGAGTTGCAAGGGGCCAAAAACTTCAATTTCTTATTTTCTTTTGTGGATTGAGTAATTAGTTATCTATCTTTGTAATCGTCTTCAAGCACCTACATATAACAAATGTTTATTAAGTTCTAGTGTTTGAGAGAGAAGACGATTAGAATCATCCGATAGCTCTGTTGGTTAAGATTAATCAGAATGAAAAGATGAATAACAATATAGAACCCTAATCTAGAGACGATGTAATCGCGTAATAGCTGAGCTTGAGGAAGCGATTCAGAAAGGATTTCAATCAAATATGTTGCAATCATCCTCATTGACTTATCAAAAATTGCTAATTAGGTGGCTGATTTATCGAATTCAACATGAAAAGTGTTTATTACACACGGATGTTTTGTAATCAAGCGAATTTGGAATGCGTTCAATTGATTTGTTTTTCTTTAAGATGACATCATCAGAATAATGTAAAACGATCTAAAGGTTGAAATTAATCAAGAAAATACAATGAATGGTCCTGATTGTTGAAAGTGGTGTCATCAAGTTTCTCTTTTAATAATATTTAGAGATATCTCTTATTCATTTAACAAGGTGTAACAAACCATTTAGACAGAAATCAATAAAAATTGATCACTCTGATCGTGTGAAATATATAAATTGATTAAGTGTGTGTTTCATCGGTAATAACACTTACATTTTTTCCAATCCTTCATGCGAAAGATTGAGATTACCCAATTTACCCATTATCGATCATATAAACACGTTTTGAATCCATCTAAATGCAACCAAATTATCTATTTAATTTAAATTGATAATTGATTTCAATATTATGAACCGATTTCAATAGTATAGGAGGACTAGTTCAAAATGTCTACAAAAGCAGCTGAACCGGATACCAACTAAAAGGTGCGTCTTTCCTCAGTTTTGTCTATAGATTTCAAACATTTCATATGTTTTAACTTCATTTGCACGAGATTGATTTATTTTTCCGATAAATCTCCCATGCACATCAAGCGTTTGATGAAATGTCTGACTGAAATATTTTTCATGAATGGAATGCCACATTTTTGTATGGTATGTTGATATTGTGGTCTGATCAACTCATACAGTATCCTCAATTTTACTTTGATCCTAGTACTATTGTATGTAGTATTGTGTATTATGTAAGCACATACTATACTTAACTGAGTCTATATGTGACACTGATGAACACATGCTTTGAAGTATTATAAAAAAGTGCAATTATATAAGGAAAAATCCCCCCAATGAGATAATTTACGGGAAACTGTTTAACTGACATCAGCTATGTTGTAGCCAACATGTTATCCGAAAACAATGCACTAATAGTCGATAATAAGTTGCATTTTTAAGCACAAATTACCACATAATAATGGCTACAAACATGACCATTCAGTTTTATGATTAAGGATGTGATAGTTCGTTCATGCGGTGGTATGACATATATCATACTCCTAACACTAGTATAGAATCTTTGTAAGACAAACATTTGTAATGTTCACTAATAACTATATATGCTTTCTTATATCTGCTCACATCATTGCCTCATATATCTGCTTATATCGGTCGAAACTCGAGGTTGCTTATAATGAGGCCGGACATAGTTCCTTCATAACTTATGAGCTTCAAATTGATAGAAACACAATCATCTCGAAGCTTATTACTTGAGTTAAATTGCCACACATTGACCTCCATCCATCCGTCTTCCCTCTCTTCTGGAACCTGATCACTATCATTGACATTGCATAGGCTTGGGGATCTAAAATAAATAATTCTTGTGTTTTTCTTTTTTCGGTGAGATAATTCTCGCACTATTACTGGGCAATGCAAACCAAGACAGTTTTCTGAAAGCCTGAACACAAGGGAACATGTGTATTCTGTATCTGGTGACAATCTTTGACTTTCTATCTTGCACTTGATACGAAATACTTGTTGACTTATGAGCTCAAGCACCTCTTCTTGGGATCTGGATGTATGGTAGCGTGATTACACAAGAATATGATTGCAATATATAAAAACTATTTATATATAAATGAGCAAGCTCCAACTATTTAAGTAAGAATTGTTGAGAGCAAAGTAACCAGAATTAGTCAAAAAAAGAAATAAACAAACCTGGACTGGGTTGAGTCTATGGAATTAAAAAGCTTCGCATTGGAAGATTCGTAAAGAGCCTCCTTTGCCAAAAGCATATAATGCTTCTTTTTGTTCTTTTCCTTCAACGAGATTACCTGTCATAAAATTCAATATATATTAAATTTATTACCAAAATCTCAATATATATATATATATATATATATATATATATATATATAAGACGATAAAAATCCAAAGGACCTTTTCAACTTCTTCAGAAGTAGGTAGCAACTGTTGCACCTGGTCCACGTTCGAGTTTGATTTCAATACTTGTTGGGTTTCTTTTAATACCTTGATTTCTTCATCATGTTTCACCTGTATAAGATGTGTAACATAATGTTATATATAGTGTAACCTAGAACATGATCAAAATGTGGTTAATACATCCTTCTATGTTCTAAGAAACAAACAAAAAATCTAGAAAGGGAGCCAAATAGAATACTCAAACTTGCATTATTAATGGCTTGAAACTCAATGCCTTCAACATAAACAACACGCCTTCCACAATAGCATCGTGAAAAGCTCTCTAGTAGAAACTCAAGGCGAGTATCTTTCTTGTGATTCAAGAACCGACACAATTCAATTTTCATCCACCCATCTTTTCTCCATGTTGCAAAATGTGTATGTAAGGTTTCGCTCCCCTTTTGTACTTGAGGTTGACATACATCCGTTTAGCTAAAGATTTTCTTTGACCACAAAATCTAAATACCAGATGAACACCATAATTGAGACCCATGGATAAAAATTGAGGTTTTGACTTTATCTGGAGCTTTAGATTTGATATATTTGATATCTCGGCTACTTCGTGAAACCTGCATATACATGTTATAAGGTATCTAAGTTAGTCATAGGCTCTATACCCACATAATAGGATCTATTTGTGGATTGATGATGTCTTTCACGGTTTCACCCCATATAAATGGATACCTTCCAAGTGTCAAATTGCGTGTTATGGAAGAAAAACAAAAAATGGGCCCTCATCATTATGAAAGTTAAAAATTCGCTATCAACCAATATTGTTAATCTAAGAGTAAATTCCATGATTCGTCCATCGTCCAAGTGTCAAATTGCGCATCGAGTCCCTTTTTTCAAAAATCAATTCGGACCATATCCGTGACGAACATAAAATGTCTATTTTACTCTTTATATTTCTTTTTTGATATATTTTCTATTTTGTTTCTTATTAACTATTTAAAAGAAAAATAAAAAATAAAGAAAAACAAAAAATGAGCCCACCCCTACAAACACTTACCCTCTACCCTAATCACCATTCAATCCTAAGAAGTTCATCTTCTCTGGATCAGTCACCAGAGCTAGAGAGAAACAGGTCGTCGGAGCCACCGCCGCCATCACTTCACTCCACCTGCGTACCAACTTTACACCGCTTCTCCTATCGGAAACAACCATCACAAAAACCCTTTCCCTATATCTTTCTCCTCCCCCCTTTCTTTTATCACTTGAATACTCAACCAACCACGGACAACACCAGAGGTGTATTGGAGTCCATTGGAAACAATCTCCCTTTCAAGTTCTCATGTCGCCATCATCTCCTCAAATCTGCACCTCCCTGTGTGTATCTGAACGCCTCCATGGACAGAACTACAACGCCGTCACCACCGTACTTGCAACTCGTTGATTATTCGGAGAAGACAAGGGGGAGGGGAAGGAGATGGGTTCAGGTGGAGCTTTTTTCGCACTGAGAGTCTCCTATTCTCACTGATTTCTATTTGGATGAGAAAAAGAGAGAAAGGGGGAAGGAGAAAGATATAGGGAAATGCTCTTTCAAAGCTCCTTTGTTTTTTCCAGCAGTGATTTCTGGAGAAAAAGACAACCACCATCAATAGGATTTTGATTTCGATTTCAGTTTCTGAAACCATTTTCGATTTCGTTTTCTGGAACCCATTTCAAGTTTTTTGGTTTGGTTTGGTGCACTTTACAGATGGTTGTTGGAGGTAAAGGGTGGTGGTTGTTGGAGGCAAAGGATGGTGGTAGCTGGAACTGGTCGGAGCCCTTCATCTTCAAAAAAGTGTCTGGTGAAGAAGGGGATGGAGGGGAAGTGTGAGGTGTATGGGTTTTGTTGGGATTGATAGGTTTTATGGTGGTAAGTGGTCGGAGATGGTATAACTGGAGGTCATTTCAAAGTCGGTGGTAGGTGGCCGAAGATGGTGGTCAGTGGCCGGTGGCTTGCCGAAGAGTATATGTTTGTTCCTGAAACTTCAAACGAGTGGTTGGGTTTGGGTGGCATGTAGGTGTTTGACCATTTTTTTATTTTTCTAATATATACTCCCTCCGTCCCAAAGTTATTGTCCACAGACAAAAAACACACAGATTAAGGAAGCATTAATTACCACTAACTTTATTCAATAAAATGACAGTTTTGTCCTTACTTTGCATTTAATATTCCATTAAATGTTTAGTTGTTTAAGTAATAATGTGAGAGTATTTTGGGTAAAAATGTTATTTATTTTTAGAAGTGGACTATTATTTTGGGACAAACCAAAAAGGAAAGATGGACTATAATTTTGGGACGGAGGGAGTATTAGAAAACAAATGATAAATAAAATACAAAAAAATAAATCAAAAGGCTCCTGATATGGACGGTCCGAATTAATTTTTGAAAATAGGGACTCAACGTGCAATTTGATACTTTGACAATGGACGAATCATGTAATTTACTTTTAATCTAATAAACACTCGCCTTAATCAAAATGAAATTGAATGTAACATTTAAAAAACATATAGCAATATATACATCTAATGATGGTAATTGTTTGAACCTGCATATAAAACGAGAGAGAGAGAGA